ACACACACACACACACACACACACACCACACACACACACACACACACACTTTAGAAGCTAAAAGGTCCAGAGTGTGAGTGTGAGTGTGTGTGTGTGTGTGTGTGCGTGCATGCGTGTGTGTGTGTGTGTGTGTGGTCCCCATGGAATCAATTATTACAGAGTTATAACTTGGTTTGACGTTTGGTTTAGGTTAGTCTCCATAAATGTAAGTCAATGTTATGACCTCTAAAATGGCAGACACACGACTTTATGATTTATTAATCTGCTAGTGCATATTTCGTAATACTGACCCTATGAGAAAAGCAGCTGTAAATGTATCTGAACTGAGCAGCTCTGCAAAACCTTTCAAGATTGGTTGAATAATATTTAGAAGTTCTGCTAGATTCTAGTGGCATAGTGTGTGTGTGTGTGTGTGTGTGTGTGTGTGTGTGTGTGTGTGTGTGTGTGTGTGTGTGTGTGTGTGTGTGTGTGTGTGTGTGTGTGTGTAAACTAAATGGACACCTAAATATAGAAGGAAAAATGCCTAGGTGTTACTAATAACACAAGTGATGGCTCTGCATAGACCCTGAAACTGCCACCCCCCATCATTGCTTTCATTCTTTATAGCTGGGTTTAAAGTGTGTTCTGTGAAAAAGGTTTATAAGCTCCATGTGTTATGTTCTATGTTCTGTTCAATATGTTTAATCTATTTTATTTTTGCGATCAGGGTGACTAATTCCATTAAAAAAAAGCACAATCTTAAGTGTATATGATTTGGCAGCATCTAGTGTTGAGTTGCAGATTGCAGCCAACTGAAAACCCCATCCAACTCCCAGGAACAACCCGGCTAGGACAGTTTGACAGAGGAGAGGGTTTAGTTCGATACAGTTGGAAAGATATTGATACATTTGAACTTGACGGATCAATACATCAAAAAACTAAACATTCTTGAATCACAAAAAAACTTCTCTCAACAACCTTAATGGGTAAACAACAAGCTACACCCTAATTGTCATAAAAACCCCACTAATTTGAGCTGGGCCCAGGGACTAAGTGCAACAGTGAAAATACATAGTGCAAACATTTTCAATAATAACCCCGTCATGGGCTACAGTACCATGCTACCAACATCATTGTACTCGTTAATGGTCTCCTGTTAGTTAAACTGCACCAATACGTTTGAAAAAATAATGAATTTGCTTTGTTTTGCTGAACATTTTTATTGAAAACAGTTAATTACTTTCCCGTCTGTTATTCAGTAAAATGCTAGCAAAACCATTTCACTACATTAATGTTCTCCCACTGGTTGTATATAATTTTTAAGAAATAAGCTTTTTCAAACATTTAAATAATTGTTTGTTTTGGGAAACATTGAATAACTCCACTTTTATACATTCAAGTTCTACCAACACCACTTAGCACATTAACTGTCTCCTGTTTGTCAACAACAACACCAATTGGTTTGGAAAAATATGCTTTGCTTAATTTTGTTGAACATTGTTTATGTCTGTCATACAGTAAAACGCTAGCAAAACACATTTATGGACTACCAGTGGTCAAACTACAACACTTAATTTGAAGAAATATGCTTTTAAATAATTGTAATATTTATTTTATTTTTTGAAATATTTAATAACTCCACTGTTAGACATTCAAGTGCCGCCAAAATCACCTAGCACATGTCTCCTGCGTTATACTACACTACTAAGTTCGGAGAAATGTGCTTTCCCTGTTTTTGGTGATTGTTTTGTGGAAAATATTCAATAACTTCTGAACTAGAGGGTTTTCTGTCTTTGGTTGTGTAAGAGAGGAGTAGGTTCACTGGAGAGGAGGTGAGAGGAGGTGAGAGAGGGGAGACAAACCATGGATGATGGGCCGGGTGCTTTAGAGAGCACAGAGACAGTGTTGATGGGGTCAGGCTCCAGCACATTGCAGACTGACAGTGTTTGGCTGGGTGTCACATCAGGACGCAGCGTTATGTCACAGGCAGAAGGTCACATGATTGCTCACAGTCGTAATACAGCATTTCACACACACACACACACACACACACACACACACACACACACACACACACACACACACACACAAAAACATACATACACACATAGACACACAAACACACACAGGCAAAAACACACATAAACATACAAACACACAGCGTGCAAGTGCTGAAAAGTCACTGTAATCCAACATAACTTCCAAAATGTGTCCCCCCTTCAATATGCCTTAGCCTACATCAACATACAAACCATTCAATCAGGATATAACATTTCATAATGTATACCTAAATAACCAAAACCAAATGATGAATGTCTAAGACTGTTATAGAGGGAATCTCAGAAGGATAATTAAACGAGTTGCAATATCTTAACCTTCATATTCTTGCAATTGCTGAAAAGCTACACTTTACAACTTCATCTGTCCAATTATCTGCAGCCAGAGTGAGAGAAATGTTAACCTTTAAGACCATAGCACAGATATGAGGTCCAGTCTGGACAGAGGACAACTGTTAGGTGTATATGCAGAGAAAGAGATTTGATCATTTATTTTATAATAACAAAGGATTTGTTATATCTGTTTTTTGGTAATCAAAATGGAAAACATTTCACACATACCCATAAACAGTCATGGTGCCTTTATTTTATACAGTGGTCAGTTTTACATTTGTTGGGACATTTATGAATAATACTTTTTTTTAACTTTTTAATCTATTTATTTATTCGCTTGCATTGCCAGTCATCTTGAAGTTGGGCTTGAGGTTGTACACAAGTAGTATCGTCACTCAAAAACAACCTGCTTCTTCATTAATTGTCCACTAGATGTCACTCTAATCTTAAGTTTGAGATATCTCGAGGAGAAACGCCAATAATCATTTTAATGTCTTTGATGGAGCTTGTAATGTGCTAATAAAAGGAAGACTTAATTTATTTCATGACACGATGGAACAATCATTGTTTGTATGTCATTTTTGTATATTTGGACCAAAATGATTCAACATAAAACATATAAAAGTATTTTAGTGCTTAATTTGAGCTTCTTTGTTTTCATAGAGTTTATTTAAACATACATTATTCCTGGATTTGACAGAATACACAGATGTTTTAACTCAGTTTTGCTTCATCAAAATATTTACCTTCATTTCCATGTTTTGTGTCTTATCTTTAAATCAACACAGTTTTCTTTCAGACCTTCAAAAACTCTGCAAGATTTATTCCATAATCATATTTATTGTACAACTGCATCAACAGGATTTTGACTGTAAGATTGTTATGGTTGTTTTCATGTACTGTATTATTTCTGGAGACTGTAGCTGTATCTCTAAATGTTTTTGTGTTGTTTCCAAAAATGCAGATGGATATTTAGCAACATTTTCTCTCAAAAGTATGCTTTTTATGCATTAAACTAAATCACACATTGTATATAGCAGGCCAATTACTCAGATGATGAGCGATAGTGTCAGTGGTTCTCCTCAGCAGAAATACTGATGTGCTATCTGAAATATGATACAGCCAACACTGCACTTCAAGAGTAAATCAAAGAGCTCTTTGGTGTTAAGCTAAAAATCAATCTTGGGTTAAGACTCATGTGGATTTGAGGAAGAGTCTTTTAAGGGGATTGTGAAGACAGCACAGGTCCGTCAGACCAGCTTTATTTTACCCTTTAGGTTTTTGAGACATTGTGTGAACTGACCTTTGCCTGTTATTATATTAGTGCAGGGGTGTACACACAAAGACCCCAGACACAAATCTCCCCTCTCAGTTGTACAGGAGTGTTGGGTTCTTGCAATTTATCTTAGAAACAAAATAATGACTCCTAGCCAAGGACATGTTTTTATCATTGGTTACAATATAAATAACTTGAGCATTCCTTTGCTAAGAAAGCAGTGTTCAAAAAAAGTGGGAGGGCCGAGGATTGAATCCCTGGGGGCCCAGAATACAAATGTTCCATGGCAAAATTGACAACATAATGTACCCTGTACAAAACCTATTTATCATGCATTAGGTCTCTTTGAACTCTGAGCACAGTTATTAGGCATGGACCCGAACATAACTCTAACCATGAATGACTTCTGCTACTCAGGATCATGTGATGTGATTGAAAGCAGAACAACTAAAGTACTAAATGCATTATGTGGTGAAAGTTGTTTCCCAGGTCAAGAATGAACTTTAAACCTCATGTAATAAACAAAGAAGAATCACAAGGTGTTTATGATGACTCCACTTATGTGCCAGGTTTATGACGAAAGCACAGTGCTCTATGTAAACATAATGAATGGAGAGTTGTTTCATAAAGTCTTCTTCATAGTAACAGCTTCACTGCTTCTATGAATTAACCAATTGCCTCTAAACAGACCACAGTCTTTCTCTTTCTGCAGCCTGAAGGAATAATGTTCATGAACTTAAGTCACATTTCGACATTTCTTACTGTTTTGCACGCTGCTACAGAAAGACACACGTTTCCTGTTACAGAGATAAACACATCCTTACTGGACTTATCATAAAGGCATTACAGCAGGCAATACAGATGTTAACCATCCATTGTGACAAAAGGCTACTACATTATAAACAGTTGTAATAATAAGTTAACTGAATAATATTCACATTATCAGGACAATTTAAGTCATAATGCACTATGTTTGCATCATATAGCATACCTGGATTATGTGTTCTTCTGTTAAAAAACACAATCATGAAACTCTGCTTTAACGTTTGGTAGTTGAAACTGTAACAGTGCATGTTTTAAGATGTGCATGTTTTGCATGTAAACATCTTGATACTGTAATAGGCCAGCTGTTGGGACATTTAGTTAATACAAAATATATTTCCTAGTGCATGATATCAGTCTTCTCATCCAACTCTTGGAAGGACAATGTTGTTTTCTAAGAACATGTATACCTATTTGTCACCCCAATGCATGCATGATGTCAAGGTTTACAAGTATGACGTTGAGTTTTACAAAGGGCCCTCGAAGGCACCATTATGTTTTTGCAGAGCTTTCCAGTGAACAGTTAATGTCTCTGGTGGCCGTCCTTTTTCCTTCTCCTCCCACACAGCCACACAGCCACACCAGTAAACACACATTACTGTACAGTGAGTGAGTAGCTGTCCGTCCGTGTTAGGGCTCTTACAGGGACACAACGAAAGAGAGATGGCTCAAACCGACAGCCAAAGTTCAACTTTCCCCGAGATAGTGGAGTTAAACGTGGGTGGGCAGGTGTATGTGACCCGGCTTGAAACTCTCACTGCGGTCCCCAACTCTCTGCTGTGGACCAAGTTCACCCAGAGCTCCCCGGGAGACCTGCCTAAAGACGGAAAGGGCCGCTTCTTCTTCGACCGGGACGGCTTTCTCTTCCGCTACATTTTGGACTACATGCGGGACTCTGAGCTTTTCTTGCCCGAATTTTTCAAAGAGAGGAGACGACTGCAAAAAGAAGCGGAATTCTTCCAGTTACCAGAGCTGTCGAAGCGACTGGCATCGGGCAGCAAAGACAGCTTGTTCACGGAGGACAGTGGGGAGCCGGAGGAGGCTGAGCTCAGCTCCCCGGTCACCTCCTCCTCCTCCTCCTCGGGCACTACGCTGCGCTCTCCTGGGGCCAGCGCCGGCTACATCACCATTGGGTACAGAGGCAGCTACACTATCGGGAGGGACATCCAGGCAGACGCTAAGTTCCGCAGGGTTGCCAGAATTACCGTGTGCAGCAAGATATCTCTGGCTAAAGAGGTTTTTGGAGAAACCTTGAATGAGAGCCGCGACCCGGACCGCCCTGCTGACAAATACACCGCCAGGTATTACCTCAAGTATAACTTTCTGGAGCAGGCGTTTGACCGGCTGGCAGAGGCTGGTTTCCACATGGTGGCCTGTAACTCCACCGGGACCTGCTCATACGGCAGCAACGACCCGGGGGAAGACAAACTGTGGACTAGTTACACCGAGTATGTTTTCTCCCGATGAAGTGACTGAAGACTGATGTCTGGTACATTCCTGCTCACGATCTCAGTTAACAATTGGAGCAATATTAGTTACAATAGTTATTTCTTTAACGTTTCATTAACATTCCAAATTGGCTCTTCCAGCGTTCATTGTCTTGTGTTTTTGTAACTATCTGCTCTGTGAACCAGCCCGAGTTAAACTTTTCTGCTATTTTGTCCTCTGTTCTGCAAGAGGAGCACACTCCACTATGAAACCTAAATGTCATTGCTAAGTGAGGAGTAAAAGGCAAACCTACTTTTATATGTCATTAACTGGTCGAGTTGGCCTATTAGCCTTTTTGGCTTTCACAGAGACTGCTTTGTTCTTATCTAATGACATGTTTACTCAAGGTGGCAGAAATGTAAGAAGCTGGTTTCTTTTGATCCCCACTGAACTATACTTGCATTGTCAGTAGTGGAGAGGCCGTTGGAACACCAAACACTAGGAATGTTCTGTAAATAGCCTAATGTTTAACTAAATTCGGGAGTCTTTAATGTTGGGATTGATGGATAAGAACAAAATGTGCTTCTTTGATATTCTACCTTAACATACTATATTACTTTTTTTGTATTATCAACCACACTTGTGGTATCACTGTTTTCAAGATGCTACAGTTATGTTACATCTATGAGCTGTTGTCATCGTTTTTCTTTCTAGGTATAAAGCTATAGCAAATAAAGTGTGACATCGTAAAAGTATTCATCCCCTTGAATTCACTGTGTATTTGATTTGTCTGAATACATTTTTTTTTTCTTCTTATCAGGTCACCAATTTTGTTGGTGCTTTCACTATGAAAAGCATTTTAGAAGTTGATGAGATTAGAAAATTGTATTTGGACATTGTGATCATGGGATTTCCCTCCAACATTCATTACATTACATTTTATTTAGCTGATACTTTTATCCAAAGCGATTTACAATAAGTACAAGAACCATAAAGATTCAAAGTCGGAACAACAAAGAAAGTGCAGATATATTCACTTCAAACAAGATCATACCATAGTAAATGCTGGTGAATTAGTTACAAGATATAGACGTTAAGAACCAAACCACGGGAAACGATGACGAACTGACAAAGAGCACAAGGGAAAGCAAGACTAAATACACACAAGGGTAATCACAAAACAAGACACAGCTGGGTAGGAGAAGTGAAACGGGCAGCAGGTGAACACAATAAGACAGGAGGGAAACTAAAGACAGGAAGTAAAACTAGACAAGACACAAGAGGTAATACAAAAATAAATAAACAGACTGTGACACAAATCCACCCCAACCTCAGTAGACTATATTGGCACAAAATAGTAATTTCATTTAATTTGTTCTGAATTAAATCAGATTGTATTGTTTTTAACATTAGATGTCAACAACACATAATGAATTCAGAGGTCACTGAATTAAGAAGAGAGAGAGTTTTAACAGAAGAACACGAAATCCAGGTATGCTATGACACATTGTCCTGATAATGTGCAACTTGTTGTAACTGTTACAGTGTAGATAGTACATTTGATCAAACTCAGTTTGCTGTCAAGTCATGTGTTTCCTAGTAAAGACTGAAGTCATGCTACTAGAATACACAAATGATGGACCTTTCTCTTTTACATGAAAACTCAATTGTGCTGATTACTGCTTATTACAAATTATTTAAACTAAATTTAGGAAGAGTGAACTTGTATTTACCCTCATATAGGTTGAAATGAATATACAACTTTTACAAATTCCTGTCAAATCAGTTTCAGCTAAATTGCCTCTCCTTATACTTTAGCATGATTTATGTCCAGTCCAAGATAAAAGCCAACAAATTGTAGCCAAAATAAAAACTTGGTAGCCGATCTGGCAGAGCATAGCAGAGTGTCTCTGTGCGACACAGAAGAGCTCTGTTATCTCCCCCGAGCAGGATGGGAAGGAGGAGGAGGGGGAGAGGGGATTTGTCTTTGGCTGACAAGTACAGTAATCAAATGTCTGTTCTCTCATGGGTTCCTGGGGCACAAATCCAAATTATCCAAGGATCAAGTCTAATGAAAAAGGACTTTGTGTGGGCTGTGTAAGGCAGTACTTGAACAAATGTGTAAAAATAAGCCAAGTTCAGAAAGATGAAAAATATGGCCTGTTTTGATTGATTTGTTCCTTACGTAACTCTATATGCAAACAAAATCATATAAAAATATACACAGCCACAGCCACAGCCACTGAAATTCGCACATACACACACTCCCACACACACTTCTGCCACCAATGAGCTTTTGTAAGAGCTTCAAAGATAGACATGTCAACACAAGAGACCTCATATCTGCTGTCAGCTGTAGCTGCCATCTGGACAGGAAAAAGGAAGGATCGACCGCAACTCTTCCTCTAGTGCGATCTCCAGAAACAGGTCACAATACTGCTCCGCTGTCTTCGACAAAAACACAGCAACTGGGGCTCATAAAGTCAGACACATTGGTCTTAACTGTATGTCTTACTTTGAATGATTTAGGAGAAAACAATAATGGATGAATGCTTTAAATTGCTGAGTGGCAATGACACCCTATGAAATGTTATGATTAAATTATCAGAGTAGGGTAGCGTAGAATCCAACAATTTCCATGTGCAGCCATCACTACTGCAATGTCTGAGCCAAATGACTACCTACCTTCATGTACATTTTGATTATATAACTAGAGTGAATATGTCAATGTTTCTCAATATTGTAGTGAACCAGCACCCTTAAGGCAATGAATTTCACATGTTTTACTTTATGGTAAAATGTTTACTACATCATATGCAGAAAACAAATCTTATAGCACAACAGGCCATTCTTTACCTGCATATTACACGGCTTATGCAGCTTGAGTATAACCCATATAAATCAATTGTATCCCTGTTATTTTACATTAAATCACATGGACATTTATCAACTTGAATATTCTCAAAGTTTCGCAAAACAGATAAGACACATACAACACTTCCTTAAATGTATTTTTTGTTAGTTGCTCTAATCACTGACTGTTGTATTATAATACTGACCTTGTGTGTGGTGTGTATTGTGTGTGTGTCCTTGATAAAAACACCCCCGAAACACATTTCACTTTATGTATGCTACTTCTTTGCTGTAAACCAAGCACACACACACACACACACACACACACACACACACACACACACACACACACACACACACACACACACACACACACACACACACACACACACACACACACACACACACACACACACACACACACACACACACACACACACACACACACACACACACACACACACACACACACACACACACACACACACACACACACACACACACACACACAGAGATAAAAGAACACACAGCGTGCAGGATGGAGACAGATAAAGAGAGCCACATTAGCCAATTTGCAGAGTTGGAGATAACACAGCTTTCTTCATATCAGCCTCTATGTGTTAAATCTATCACATTTTCTCTCGCAGTATCTGCCTTCAGCTCACTGCAACCTACATGTCTTATTTTTTTGTATTCTAATATAGACACATTACACTGTTCACAAAGAGAACAACACATGAATAATTAATGAATTCGATGTGTTTCTCTCTGTTTAAGTGTGAGAGCTGAAAATACAATAGTTTGGCCTTTGGCTAAAGATAAGAACATTCTGCCTCATTTTACATTTTATCTGAAATGTCCTATTTACAGCAGAGCTCTTTCAAAGCCAATGGCAGCAGTGGCTGCTCAATCACCAATACTTTATTGCAGGATTTCTTAAATGCAGGCTTAGTTGTGAAGAAAAAGAGTAGGAAATTAGGTAACCTTGCAGAATTTTTCTTTTTTCTTTTACCAACTTGAGAAATTAATAAACACTGATTATAGATTCAACAACGAAACAAGACTAAACATTTCCAGAAAGAAGTGAGGATGGGTTATTTTCTAATTATACAGTATTTTCTGAAGAACTAACAGAAATGTTTTGGCTCTCCCTAACATTAGTTCCAAAGCCAGAACAAAGCTAATTACTGTAATAGAAAGCCAGCAAGCAACACATTTTACAATCCTTTAATCCCTTTAAATCTACTTAAAATGGCAATAAGTCTTTATCAACTAAACAAGGATTTCACTGAACACAAAACAATATAACATCTGCCTACCAGAACCCCAAAATATCCCTAATGACAATAGGAGCTACACTTTTTAGTCAATTAGCTAACAGGCTGTAGCTTTATGTACAGGCATACGAGTGGTATACAAAATCAAATGTTGTCCCTTTACATTCTGTAAAGTTTCGTATTAAATGCAGTAAAGCAGGACAAATCTGAGCTTCCTCTTTCTAAAGGTGTTTTTCTGTTCTTGAAGTTTTTATCATTGTTTCAGTTGCATTGGAAATGTTTACATTTTCCATTATACTGAGCACCTGTATGACTTAAAATTTGAACTTGACATTTCAATATTGATCTTGGAAACAGCAACAAAAGAATCTCAACTCAAGGTCCATTTACTCACTGGTTCTCAAGCTTGTTTCAGAGCTCTTTAATCTCTTCAGTAATACGAGCAAACACTTCCCTGTTTGATAAAACCGTAATAGGATTTGCAGCCATTGCCTGTTAATGTAGAGTAAACATATTGTAACAAAGCATATCGTAGGCTTACACCACTGCAGACTCATTCTGTTAGTGTTTGCCACCTGAACCAATCACTATCCCAGTAAAGTGTTTGTATTACCAGGCAGTTAAACCATTAACGCTCCATACATTACTTCAATCATTAACAGTGATTCTGAATTGTGTTCAACTAAAAACACATGTTTTTAAGGCAAGCATTAGTTACTCACTATAGTAAATATGATATGTTGCTTTGTTTGGAGTGTGATAACAAGCCACAATCTATAATGTTACAGGCTGTTTCTTGAATATTGACACTCCTTCCCCGTGGCAATGCGATGAAGATAACTTTCATCCTGTAACATAACTCAGTTTTATTATCGGACAGTTTTGTTATGATAAGAGATTATGCGTCTTGATATAACCTAATTTCCTCTTCAGTTACAAGAAGTGAAATCTTGCAGTGCAGTTTATTATAGGATTCATCATTTTTTTGTGTGTGAGCAGGTTCAGGTGAGAGAACCGCATGAAGATGTTCCCTTCAGGGGAGAAAAGGTCAGCTGCAGGCAAATAAAAACGATAATAAACTCTAGGTTTAATTTAGCCTCTCCCTAACAGACTCTGTTAAGGGCAGTGTGACATAACCCTGCTTCAACTTGCGAAATCCGAGCAATAAAATAAGACACACCTGCACATCTTCTGCTATCTTGCAGCTAAAGCCACAGCAATGCAATTCCCAATTATAAAAAAACTCAGCTCATATCCTGTTTTTAAAACAGAAGTAAGAACTTTATAAAGTACAGCCTTGTTTTATTACTTGCAGCAGCATTAAGGTCTGTAATTCTGCTCCAAATATGGGCTTACATATTATTGTATTAATTCTAACTGGCTCAACAAATGTTATAGTGGAAGAATCAAGCTGCAGTCATGAGCCTTTGAAAATTCAAATGACTTTTTTCAAGTAAAGAACATTTTGTGCAAGACAACGTTAAAATAAAAACAACCAGTTTTTTTAACCTAAATATATAAACTGGAATCCATTCACAGTAAGAATGCATGAAATTACAGTAAACAATTTGCTACATTTTGGTGCTTAAAATATTTGTAGAATTCTCTGCGTCAATTTGTTATGGCTTTTTTGTAAACT